GATCAACCGCTGCCATCAGAAGTGACCACTACATGTTAAAGGGGTGGCAGATAATCCTAGAATCAAAGAGTTGGAAGAGACCTCCTGGGCCATCCAGTCCAACCCCATTCTGCCAAGAAGCAGGAATATTGCATTCAAATCATCCCTGGCAGATGGCCATCCAGCCTGTGTTTAAAAGCCTCCAAAGGAGCCTCCACCACACTCCGGGGCAGAGAGTTCCACTGCTGAACGGCTCTCACAGTCAGGAAGTTCTTCCTCATGTTCAGATGGAATCTCCTCTCTTGTAGTTTGAAGCCATTCTTCCATTGCGTCCTAGTCTCCAGGGAAGCAGAAAACAAGCTTGCTCCCTCCTCCCTGTGGCTTCCTCTCACATATTTATACATGGCTATCATATCTCCCCTCAATGCATATTTTCCTTATTTCGTTCTAAATCCTTGCCTACATGGATGAACACCAACACATGTGACCCCATGAGGAAGAAAGCCTTTCATTGCAAGGACTTGGGAGACCTCTTTGTCTTGGACTACAACTCCCAGGGTCCTCAACCCTCATGCCAGGACTTTTTGTAGGGTTAATGGGAAGAGTTGTAGTCCAAGACAGCCATTCCTCCCACTCTCTGGAACAGGGATTCCCAAACGATTCCTCCAAGATTTCTTGGACTTCAACACCCAGAAGCCTCAGCTGTCTTGGCCCAAAATCAGGGAGTCCAGTACACGGAGTCTCCAGGAGGTGGGAGGCCAGGGCTTGGGAAGGGGGCCTCCTGAGAAGGGACAAGTCTTCCATGGCTGAGCAGCTCTTACCATCAGGAAAGGCTTCCTCGTGTTTAGGTGGGAGCTTTTTTCCTGCAATGTGAATCAGTAGCTTTATATCTTAGTCTCCAGAGAAGCAGGAAAAACTGGCCCTTTTCTCCTCAATGGGACATCCTTCCAAATATCGGCTCTCCTGTCCTCTCAGCCTTTTCCCCCCTCCAAACTAAACATCTCCAGCTCCCTCAGCCATTCCCTATCGCCCTTCTCTGGAGACATTCCAGCATCTCAAAATCTTGCTTGAATTGTGCAGCCCGGAACTGGACGTTCTTGCGTACATCTCCTTTGTGCTTGGTGTTCAAGAAGTGTTTCCTATATGCTAGTGTTCGATCTAAGGTGACACCCAGATATTTAGGATGGAAACAGTGTTCAAGCTCTTGACCTTCAATTCAACTTTGCTTGAATGGTGCTGCCCGGAACTGGACGCAGGGTCATTCCAGGAGAAGTTTCATCCAAGTCTAGAAGAGAGTGGGCGAAACTTACCCGGATCTAGACCCATTGGGACAGCCTAGAAGCACATTGGCTTTTTTAAGCGGATGTATCATCGCACTTTATAAAAAAAGCAATTTTTATTCAAAGACAAAAAACCAAAACAAAGCATGTTTATACAAATGACAATTTTGGGTATTTCATTTTTCTTTTACGCAAATTATAATTTTGGTATTTTGTTAAAGGACTACTTAACAAAGAGCGAACACGGACACACACCTAGCGCAATAAGAACAAAACTAACTAACAAACACTAGTTTATGGAAGTCTCACTTGCTCTATGATTTTTATCTCTATTGACTCTGTTTCCTTTCAATGCCGTTCTATACTTCATCCATTCACTTAATGTGTCCATCTCAACTGATTCATGAGTCCAGTTACATCTTGCTTGGACTACTGCAACGCTCTCTATGTGGGGCTGCCTTTGAAGATAGTTTGGAAGCTTTCGATGATTCAGAGATAATTAATGGACCGCCGTAAAGGGAGAGAACCCCTCCCATGTTAAGGCAGCTCCACTGGCTGCTGGTCCGCTTCTGGGCTAAATGCAGTGCTGGTGATTACCTATAAAGCCCAAAATGGTTCAAGCCCAGACTGTTTGAGGAACCGCATCTTCGTACACATACCAGCACGAGCGCTGCAGTCTGCGGAGGAGGCCCTCCTCTCGGTCCCACCCTGATCCCAAGCAAGGCTGGTGGGGACAAGAGTTGGGGGGGGGGGTCTTCTCTGTGATCGCCCCCTGCCTCTGGAGCTCCCTCCCTAAAATAATTAATCATTAAATAATTGATTAATCATTTGTTTGTTTGTGGCATTGAATGTTTGCCATTTTATTACTTGCTGGAAACCGCCCTGAGTCCCCTTGGAGAGATAGGGCGGGTGACAAATATATTATTATTATTATTATTATTATTATTATTATTATTATTAATCTTATGGAGCACCCGGTGGCACAGTGGGTTAAACCTGAAGACCAACAGGTCGCAGGTTCGAATCCGGAGAGAGGCGGATGAGCTCCTTCTATCAGCTCCAGCTCCTCATGCAAGGACATGAGAGAAGCCTCCCACAAGGATGACAAAAAAAATCAATTCATCCGGGCGCCCGCTGGGCAACATCCTTGCAGACGACCAATTCTCTCACACCAGAAGCAACTTGCAGTTTTTCAAGTTCCTCCTGACACGATAATAATAATAAAAATAGTAATCTTCATCAGCCAATGCCATCATTATTTGACTTCCATTCTCCACAGTTACGGAGATGTGTTGTGTATCCTACCGGACCCTTGGGCAAAGGTGGTGATTAAACAGTCTCAAGTACGGAAATTGGTTCACTCTAACCTTTATCTGCCTTCTTCCAGATGTATCCTTTCAAGTTGGCCAATCTTTTTATGGTATTCATTTCGATGGATGTCATGTTGGAACGGGTGTAAATTTTGTTCCGGGACAGTCTGTCTATGTCTCTTTCAACCACCTTTTCCAATGCCCTGATGGTTATATTATCCGTGTGGAAAAAAAATACTTTTGGGTTTAAAATCATTAAATAGTCTCAAATACAGAAAAGGCATTCACTCTAAGCAGCGTTAAGTACACACAAAGCAAGACTCATGGTCTCGCGTTCCAAAGCTCTTCCGGTATAAAGCCCAAGGTTTAGTAAACAAACAAGATAAGCCCAGACCATATTTACTCACAAGTCTTCAGTCCGGCTTTTTTACAATGTCAGGAACGAATAGAGAACATACTGCAAGTCGCTTCTGGTGTGAGAGAATTAGACGTCTACAAAGCTATTGCCCAGGGAATGCCCAAATGTGTTCCCATCCTGCTGGGAGGCTTCTCTTGTGTCACCGCACGGGGAAGCTAGGGCTGACAGATGGGAGCTCTCTCTGTCTCGCGGATTCAAATCACCAAACTTCAAGTCAGCAGTTCAGCCAGCACAAGGGTTTAACTCATTGCACCAGTCCTGCTAAAATAATACAATTGCAGCAACACAGTCAGAGTCAGGAGCAAGAAGAAAGGTTACAGTCCAAGAGTCACATGCCAGGAGATCATTCAACAGAGCTGATGAAATAACAAGAGTACAATCCAAATTCAGAGTCCCAAAGTCAAGCCAGAAAGTCAGGGATACAAACAACGTCCTGGTTCATAAATGAAACCAGAAGTCAGTCCAGAACTATTCAGGATACAACAAAGTCCAGAAAAGGGTGACAGGTACATGGCTAGAGGCCAAAATTCTAACCGAGGGGCAACAGAGCCAAGACGGGAGACGAGGGTATGAAGAGATGACCTTCTCTGCTACCAAAGAGCTCTTCTTGTTCAGAACCCTTTTCTCCAGAGATCTCAGCTGCTGCTCCTTTCAGCAAACCTCCACAGATCACCCTAGAAGCTTGTGATGGGTTTCTTATGGAGGAGGCGAGGGGAACCCCTTCGGAGCTTGCTGCAATACGGAGAAAAATCCCCTTCTGAGTGAGACCTGCTCCCAGTAGCCGCCGACCAAGGCCACACAAACTGTAGTTCACGGTACAGAGAGAGAGAGAGAGAGAGAGCCAGGTGCCAGCCTTCCTCTTTCATTCCAATATTTTTTGAAAGAGAGCTCAGAAACTGAAAGGCAAGTCTCCTCTAGCGGCGCATGAGTTCCGTGATGTTTATTGTATGCTGAACATCCTCTACAGCTCTTCCCACATTCCGTGCATTTATACGGCTTCTCTATTATGTGGCTCCTTTGAAAGCAATGTAGATAGATTTGGAAGGAATCGAGATAGTTACTCTGACTGAAACTTTCTCCACATTCTATGCACTTCTATGGCTTCTGTACTGAGTGAGTCATTTGGTGGGAACGTAGATTGCCACTGCGACTGAAGCTCTTTCCACATTCCATGCATATGTGTGGCTTCTGCCCTGTGTGCGTCCTTTGATGGGACCATAGATGGCCACTCTGACTGAATCTTTCTCCACACTCCATGCATTTATGTGGCTTCTCCCCTGTGTGGATCCTTTGATGGTTACGAAGAGTCCCACTCTCACTGAAGCTCTTTCCACATTCCATGCATTTATGTGGCTTCTCCCCTGTGTGTATCCTTTGATGGGAACGTAGATTGCCACTGTGGTTGAAGCTTTTTCCACATTCCATGCATTTATGTGGCTTCTTCCCTGTGTGTGTCCTTTGATGGGAACGTAGATTGCCACTGCGACTGAAGCTTTTTCCACATTCCATGCATATATGTGGCTTCTCCCCTGTGTGTGTCCTTTGATGGGACCACAGATGGCCACTCTGACTGAATCTTTCTCCACACTCCATGCATTTATGTGGCTTCTCCCCTGTGTGGATCCTTTGATGGGAACATACATGGCCACTGCGACTGAAGCTCTTTCCACATTCCATGCATTTATATGGCTTCTCCCCTGTGTGCGTCCTTTGATGGGAACGTAGATTGTCACTGCGACTGAAGCTTTCTCCACATTCCATACATTTATATGGCTTTCCCTCTGTGTGCGCCCTTTGATGGGCACGCAGATGTCCACTCTGACTGAAGCTCTTTCCACATTCCATACATTTATATGGCTTCGCCCCTGTGTGGATCCTTTGATGGTTACGAAGAGTCCCACTCTCACTGAAGCTCTTTCCACATTCCATGCATTTATGTGGCTTCTCCCCTGTGTGTGTCTTTTGATGGGAACGTAGAGTGTCACTGCGACTGAAGCTCTTTCCACATTCCATGCATATATGTGGCTTCTCCCCTGTGTGTGTCCTTTGATGGGACCATAGATGGCCACTCTGACTGAATCTTTCTCCACACTCCATGCATTTATGTGGCTTCTCCCCTGTGTGGATCCTTTGATGGGAACATACATGGCCACTGCGACTGAAGCTCTTTCCACATTCCATACATTTATATGGCTTCTCCCCTGTGTGCTTCCTTTGATGGGAACGTAGAGTGCTACTCTGACTGAAGCTCTTTCCACATTCCATACATTTATATGGCTTCTCCCCTGTGTGCGTCCTTTGATGGGAACGTAGAGTGTCACTGCGACTGAAGCATTCTCCACATTCCATACATTTATATGGCTTTTCCCCTGTGTGTGCCCTTTGATGGGCACGCAGATGTCCACTCTGACTGAAGCCCTTTCCACATTCCATACATTTATGTGGCTTCTCCCCTGTGTGTATCTTTTTATGGGCACGCAGATTGCTACTCTGACTGAAGCTTTCTCCACATTCCTTGCACTGATATGGCTTCTCCCCTGTGTGGGTCTGTTCATGTACAGTAAGAGAACTTTTCCTATCAAATTGTTTTCCACACTCCATACACTGATGTAACTTCTCCCCTGTGTCTGATCTAGGATAGGGAGGTAGAGGGCTTGCCATTTTTTTACATTTATAATTCAAATATGATGCCAGGGGTTCACAGATATAACCTCCTGAACAGCAGTTTTTGTATTGCTGTAGCCTTCTGCTTGGTTTCCCAAGCCTCTCTTTTTACACCAAAATCTTATTTCCCCCCTTAACAGCACAGGGATGTAGCCTCAAAAATATTTTTCTGGTACTTATTTTTTCTTGTTGTCATTGCTGTGTATCTTGAAGTCACTTTGAACTTGCAGCACTCCTCAGGCAAAGCTCTCACAAGGTGTTCTTCACAGAACTTGTTCCGAACTTACCTGCCAGAGAAATGAGAGGAGAATCTCTTCAGGAGTTGAACAGAGAAAGATCTCATGGAACACGAAGAGGAAGTCTAGTGCTGTAGCAAACCCAGAGGAAGAGGGAAGCTGCCCAGTGCCAGGTGACAAATACTTTGACACTTGCCCAACTACGAACAATCCTTCCTCAGGTACAAATGGGACGGGGCCCCAAGATTCTCCGTGTGCGATTTCTTACGCTGCAAGGTGTTCAGGGAGGGGCCTTTCTCATTCTCAGCCAGGGAGGTCCTTCGCTTCTCTTAACTACAAACTCTAGAATCCTGCAGGAAACAGACAGGATTTCAAAGGGGAAGCAGGCTCTTCTCCTCCTTGGAAGGCCAGGGATTCTTCCTCCGCGTGGCTTTTTGGGCCTTCTCCTTTTGAGTCCACCCTCCCCTCCTGTCTTTGCAGGCCCTTCTGCCCTCCTCTTCCTGCCTCCCGAATGCATTGACATCCTTCCCGCCCTTCCTTTGCTCATGAATGGGGAGCGGTGGATGTGTTGCAGCCAACCCAGGCTTCACGTGTTACCTCCAGCTCCACAGTGTTGTGTGTCTGCTTTGTAAAATGTGTTTCTTAAAAACATGAGCATGCATTCCCAAAACACAATTGTTTAGGTTTTACTATTTTTCATTTTATGAGTTATAATTGATTTTAAAAGGAAGGCAAGATAATGCAGACCTGGAGACTGGGATTGCATAAACCTCAGCACCAGGTGGGCTCTGAAGAGGAGGGCAGCACATCATGGGGAGATCACAGAAGAGAAGGCCCTCCTGGCTTCCACTGGTGCTCATATTTATACAGACTTCATGTCCATGTAACATTGCTTTTAGCTGCACCCTCATTTTTTATACATCCTTTTCTTAAAAAGTGAGCAAGGGAAAAAGAAAAATAGGGGGGAAGTTAGGTGACCTCCGGTGTCTTCCAATCTTGTCACAAAGAAAGCTAAAATCATACGCTTCACCCTCTAGACCTCTCTGTATGAACGCGATGAAGGGAGGAATGAAGTAAGGAAAGGGGCGAGGAAGGACGAAATGGAGGGAGGGAGAGAAGGGAATACAGGGATGAAGGAAGGGAGCAAGGAAGGAAGAGAGGAAGGAAGGGATGAATGAAAAAAGCATGAATGGAAGAATGAAGGAAGGAAGAAAAGGGAGGGTGGGAGTAAGGAAGGATGAGTAGTAGGAAGGAAGGATGATGGGAGGAATGAAGTAAGGAAGGAGGGAGAGAAGAAAGGGAGGGAGGGGGAGAAGGGAAGAAAGGGAGGAAGGAAGAGTGGAAGAGTGGAAGGAGGAGAGGAAGGAAGGGATGAAGGGAGGAATGAAGAAAGCATGAATGGAAGAATGAAGGAAGGAAGGAGAGAAGGAAGAAAAGGGAGGGAGTAAGGAAGGATGAGTGGAAGGAAGGATGAAGGGAGGAATGAAGTAAGGAAAGATGGAGAGAAGAAAGAAAGTGAGGGAGGAAGGGAGGAAGGAAGAAAGGAAGGAAGGAAGGAAGAGAGTAAGGAAGGATGAGCGGTAGTGAGGTGAGCAGTGGACCAAAGTACCTCCATTTTGAGGCCTACCTATGCCTGTCTGTCTCGAAGATGCTAGGGAAAGCATATTTCCAACTTCTAATCAAGATGCAGCCTGCCTCTTGAGGCAAGTGTCACAATAGCCTGTTCCAAGAAGCCGTTTGTGGTCAGCCGATGTGGTCGGCCAAGTTCCTGTAAAGAATGTATGCAATATGCTTGGCTAATATGAATATCTATGGGGGGTTGTTGACAAGAACGGAAGGTTCTTACAAAATGCTAGACGGTTTGTGGTGGGCCGATTCCCCAAAGTGTTTATGCTGAAGGAAATGTTTGCCTAACCCGAAACCGTCCATAGGGGAAAAGAGGAACTTCTTTGCCCTAAACAACCCGGCCATATTAACCCTGGAGTCCAAGGGCTCAGGACGGGCAGAACTTGTACTGGCATGCTGCGTGCATGACCCTCTGTCTGTCTCCTATTGCGCAATATGAATAAACTTGTGCTTGCCTGCTAACTGTTTGGACTCTTGCTTCGGATCCATAGCGGACTGGTAAGATCCTGGAAAGTTTGGGTTGGGGGAGGGTGGGAGTAAGGAAGGATGAGTAGTAGGAAGGAAGGATGATGGGAGGAATGAAGTAAGGAAGGAGAGAGGAAAGAATGGGAGGAGGGAAGGGAGCAAGGAAGGAAGTGCAGAAGGAAGGGAGGAAGGAAGGGATGAAGGGAGGAATGAAGTAAGGAAGGAGGGAGAGAAGAAAGAAAGGGAGGGAGGGGGAGAAGGAAGAAAGGAGAGGAAAGAAGAGGAGGAGGAAGGAAAGAAGGAAGAAGGAGGGAGAAAAGGAGGAAGGAAGGAAGATAGGAAGGAAGAAAGAAAGGGAGTAAGGAAGGATGAGTAGTAGGAAGGAAGGATGATGGGAGGAATGAAGTAAGGACGGAGGGAGAGAAGGAAGAAAGGGAGGAAAGAAGGGAGGTGCCAATGACACAGAGAGCGCAAGCCTCAGTCGCCAGGAAGGAAGAGTGGAAGAGAGGCAGGAAGGGATGAAGGGAGAGAAGGAAGAAAGGGAGGGAGGAAAGGAGCAAGGAAGGAAGAGCAGAAGTAAGGGATGAAGGGAGGAATTAAGTAAGGAAGGCGGAGAGAAGGACGAAAGAGAAGGGAGGGGAAGAAGAAAGGGAGGGAGGGAGGGAGAGAAGGGAAGTAAGGGATGAAGTAAGGAAGGGGGGAGAGAATGAAGAAAGGAACAAAGGAAGGGATCAAGGAAGGAAGAGCGGCAGGAAGAGAGGAAGGGAGGGATGAAGGGAGGAATGCAGTAAGGAAGGGACGAGGAAGGAAGAAAGGAAGGGAGTTATAGAAGGGAAGAAAGAAAGAGTGGAAGGAAGAGATGAAGGGAGGAAGGAAGTAAGGAAGGGGCGAGGAAGGAAGAAAGGGATGAAGGAAGGGAGCAAGGAAGGAAGAGTGGAAGGAAGAGATGAAGTGAGGAAAGAAGTAAGGTGGCAGAGAGAGAAGGGAAGAAAGGGATGAAGGGAGCAAGGAAGGAAGAGCGGAAGGAAGGGAGGAAGGCTGCGGGGCCTTCTCCTCCTCCTCCTGCTTTCAAAAATCTGTTTCTTAAAAACATTAACTTGTGTTCCCAAAACATAATTGTTTTCTCAGCCTGAGGGCTGAGAAAAGCGGTATATAAATAAAGTAAATAAATAAATAGGTTTTACTATTTTTCATTTTATGAGTTGTAATTCATTTGAAAGGAAAGGGATGAGAATGCAGACCTGGAGACTGGAGTTGCATCAACCTCTGCCCCAGGTGGGCTTTGGAGAGGAGGGCATCCCATCATGGGGAGATCGCAGAAGAGAAGGCCTAGGGTGGAGGAGACCTCTGACGACCCAGCAGCTCGGTGTTGCGATTTTGCACACCACTTTGCAGGCAAAGTTGCCCAGATACGTCTTGAGCTCGACTCCAATTTCACGCAGTGCCAGAGGAGGTGACTGAGGCATCTGCTTGTCCAACCTTGTGGGATTCTTTTCGGCTTGTTCTTCCTGAGACCGTGGAGGAAGTCCTTGGGGCTGTGAGGGCGACCACTTCGGCCCTAGACCCTTGCCCATCCTGGCTTATAAAAGCTGCCAAGGAGGGGTTGGTTGACTGGTTTGTGTTGATCATTAACGCATCGTTGGAGCAAGGGATTTTTCCATCTAATTTGAAACAGGCTGTGGTTCGCCCACTCCTTAAGAAGTCTTCCCTTGACTCTACGGTGCTGAACAATTACAGGCCGATCTCCAACCTCCCTTTTTTGGGTAAGGTGCTGGAGCGGGTGGTCGCCCTCCAGCTCCAGGGCTTCCTAGATGACATCAATTACCTAGATCAGGCACAGTCTGGCTTCAGGCCTGGTCATGGCACCGAGACAGCCTTGGTCGCCTTGGTGGATGACCTCCGTAGAGGACTGGACAGGGGGAGTGTGACCCTGCTGGTCCTCTTGGACATCTCAGCGGCTTTCGATACCATCGATCATGGTATCCTTCTGGGTCGCTCTCTGGGATGGGTCTCGGGGGCACGGTTCTGTCGTGGCTCCGGTCCTTCCTGGAGGGACGAACCCAGATGGTGAAGCTGGGAGACGCCTGCTCGGACCCCTGGCCTTTGACCTGTGGGGTCCCGCAAGGTTCTATTCTGTCTCCCATGCTTTTCAACATCTACATGAAACCGCTGGGAGAGGTCATCCGGGGTTTTGGAGTTGGGTGCCATCTCTACGCGGATGACACACAACTCTACTACTCTTTTCCACCTAATTCCAAGGAGGCCTCTCGGGTGCTAGACGAGTGCCTGGCCGCTGTGTCTATCTGGATGAGGACGAACAAGCTGAAGATTAATCCCGACAAGACAGAGGTCCTCCTGGTCGATCGTAAACCAGATCGGGGTATAGGGTGGCAACCTGTGTTGGACGGGGTTACACTCCCCCTGAAGCCACAGGTCCGTAGCTTGGGAGTCCTCCTGGACTCATCGCTCACGCTTGAGGCTCAGGCGTCGGCGGTGGCCGGGAGGGCTTTTGCACAACTGAGACTCGTGCGCTAGCTACGCCCGTACCTCGCTAAGGCTGATCTGGCCGGGGTGGTCCATGCCTTAGTCACCTCTAGACTGGATTACTGCAATGCACTCTACGTGGGGCTGCCCTTGAAAATGGCTCGGAAATTCCAACTAGTCCAACGGGCAGCAGCCAGGATGTTAACTGGGGCCCATTACAGAGAGAGGTCAACCCTCCTGTTCAAGGAGCTCCACTGGCTGCCGTTTGTCTTCCGAGCTCAATTTAAGGTGCAGGTTCTTACCTACAAAGCCCTGAACGGTTTGGGACCACCCTACCTGCGTGACCGTATCGCTGTTTACGAACCTACACGTTCACTCCGATCATCGGGAGAGACCCTGCTCGTGATCCCGCCCGCGTCACAAGCACGCTTGGTCGGGACACGAGACAGGGCCTTCTCTGTGGTGGCCCCCCACCTCTGGAATACCCTCCCGAAAGACCTCAGACAAGCCCCTACATTGGCAGTCTTCAGGAGGAATTTGAAAACCTGGCTGTTCCAATGTGCCTTCCCAGACTAGGAACCCCACCACCAAATCCCAGAAGCACTTTAGCAGATCTAAGACCACCGCACTTTGCACACCACACCATATCTCTCTGACACATCAGCACTTTTAACCCTGTACCCCATTCTGGCCAGCTCAGTTTTTAATAATGTCTTAATAATGTATATTGTCATTTGTCTGCTTTTGCTTAACTGTTTTATTTGCTAGGTATTGTATTGTTGTATTGTTGTTTTGTTTTGGGCTTCGGCCACTGTAAGCCGCATCGAATCCCTTGGGAGATGCTAGCGGGGTACAAATAAAGTTATAATAATAATAATAATAATAAGCCCCCCCTGGTTTCCATGGGTGCTCATATTTATACAGACTTCATTTCCATGTAACATTGCTTTTACATGGACCCTCTCTTTTTATACATCCTTTTCTTTAAAAGGGGGGAGGGGAGGAAAAAAGAAAAATGGGGGGAGGGGAGTCAATCTAGTCACAAAGAAAGCTAATATCGTACGCTTCACCCTCTAGACCTCTCTAGATCTACTCTTTTGTCATTTTCCATTTCCTTTTCCAATCCTTATTCCAGAAATCTCTTCCTCACCTGTTATGTCCCTTAACAATACTTTAAGAACTCGTGTAAATAGAAGAGGTGAGAGTTGGCATCCCTGCCTAGCCCCTTTTTGAATTCTGCATGGCTTGGTTATATTTACATTTACAATCACTTATATCATCTGTCTAGTGCATTAGTTCCCAACCTTTTTTTTTTAATCAGGACCCCCTGACCAGGGACCACTTTGACCAGGAACCACTCTCCAACATTAGCACCATAAAGATTACGAATCAGTTAATGAATGAGAGTTAAAAATTTTGGAGACCTCCTTCGTAAAGATTGAGGCCCGCAATGACTAAATCAT